CTCTTGGGCTTAAGTGATTCTCTTGCCTTAGCCTCCTGAGTAGCTGGGACTACAGGTACCTGCCACAACACCTGGCTAATTTTTGGTTGCAGTTGTCATTGTTGTTTAGCAGGCCCTGGCCAGGTTCAAACCTGTCAACCCCAGAGTATGTGGCTGGTGCCCTAGCCTCTGAGCTATGGGCACCGAGCCTGGTAACCATTATTCTATCAGAATCACACTCTTACATACTCAGAGTTAGAAACTTACAGAATTTTCAGAGTAACAATAATACAAGTTTCTGTTCTGTGTTCCATCAGAGTTCACACTTCTCATCTCTATCTGCTTTGGTGATTATGAAGTGCTTGAAACAGTTTCAGGCTCTGAGCAACTACTCAGTGTTAGCTGGGCTATTATTATTGATATTATTGTTATTGCGGTTGGTGTTGTCTTTTTACCTTGAGAAGCCTTCTGCTTGGTGGGTCCTCCAACTTCTTCCTCCTAGCACCCTTCCCCAGCGCTTATCTCAGCCTCCTGGTTCTCAGGCCCAGCTGGTGCTAGAATTTCTGGTAAGCTAGTCAGGTTAGAGCTGGTACTGCGAGGGCCCAAGCACTGCCCTGATGGGCCCACCACATCCTTCCTTGAAAACTACTGCCCCTGGAGCTGAGGAACCTCAGTGAGTGGTGAGTGGTAGCCCACATTTGGCTGACTCTGGGCTTCCAGTGGCCACTGGCAGGTAGCTGCGTGTAGCTTCTTGGTGGGAGTGGCTGCAGGTACCTGGTTAGCCCATTCTTTCCCAAGGTGTAGGGAGAGAGCTTTGCATAGTGCTAGGGATTGTGAATGCAAAACGATATGTGTTCCTTACGCCACTTGGTCATGATCCTTTTCTACTCCTTTCATTTTCATTGTGTAAATTTTATGCCTCTTGGGACTACTTTTAAATTTTTTTTCAAGAAAGGGGTCTAGCTATGTTGTCCTGGCTGGATTTGAAATCCAAGGCTCAAGTGATTCTCCCACCTCAGCCTTTTGAGTAGTAGGGATTCCAGGCATTTGCCACTGCACCCAGCTCGGGACTATTTTCTTTTTTTAAAAGATTTCTATTGAAGGGCTGGACATGGTGTCTCATGCCTGTAATCCCAGCACTCTGGGAGGCTGAGGTGGTGAATCACTTAAGCTCAGGAATTCAAGACCAGCCCAAGTGAGATTGAAACTCCCATCTGTACTAAAAATAGAAAAACTAGCCAGGTGTTTGGTAGGCACTTGGAGTCCCAGCTACTCAGGAGGCTGAGGCAAGAGAATCACTAGAACCCAAGAGTTTGAGGTTGCTGTGAGCTGTGACGCTATGGCACTCTACTAGGGGCAAGAAAGTGAAACTCTGTCTCAAAAAAAAAAAAAAAACCCCACCAAGACTGGCAGCTGAGCCATTCTCTCTTTCCCTGTGCCCCAACTCCCTGGCTGTCCAGCACACTGCCAGGGCATAGCAAGTCCCATTTGGCTGCTGTGTGGCCCTGAAAAAGTTGCTGCCCCTCTGTAGTGGCCACTTTCTTCACAAGAACAGACCTGAGTCACCTCAGGGGCCTCCAGACCTCTCTCTGGGACCCACCTGGTTGGGGGCTGGGTCAGGATAGGCTCTGCCTATCTGTTCCATTGGGAAGTGTTCCTCCATAGTTTCTAGGACAGCTGTTGTAAGATGGGCCCAGGGCACTAAACCAGCCCTTTGCAGACTTAAGAAGGGAAAGCCTCACTTACTTTCTGGCACCAGACTGTGTTCCTGCCCTGGTATCTGAAAGCCTGGAGTGGAGGGGCTGTGAGCCCTATTGTATAGAAGTCCCTGCCCATTCCAGCCACCAGAATCCCCTTACAGAGGAGGACATAAGGGATGATGTGCGGTTACCCATGGATGTGGGGCTTGGCAGTGCCCCCATCTGACCAGTGGGTGGACATTGGCACAAACAGCCTCAAGGACCTGTGACCCCAAGCCCTACTGGCCTTCTTCCCTCTTAGAGTCATCCCTCACCACCTGCCTCTCCTATGGGGACAGTGGCCACCTCAACAGGGATGAGGATGCATTGCTAATAGGAGGACAGGCTTAGTGTGGGGCTGGGTGCCCAGAAGCCCCCCTGTAGGGCCAGGCCATGCTGGTCCTCCAGGGGCTGCAGGGTCAGGTTTCCTCTGAAGCCTCTGGTCTCTTCTTCACGGCCAGTCACAGGCTCAGGCTCTTTATCACTGGGTTTTCCCTTAGTTGACTAGCAGCTTGGAAGTCCTGTCCTTTGTCTCATTTGAACCCTTCTTGCTGCACACATTGATTTTTCTATAGGAAGGTCTCACAGGCTGGGCCTGGTGGCACATCCTTGTCCCAGCTAGTTGGAAGGCTGAGGCAGGAGGCTGCAGTCATCTATGATGATACCACTGCACTCCAGCCTGAATGACAGAGCAAGACCCCATTTTAACAAACCTTCTGGTAGTTGCCCAAGGTGCTTTCAAGGATTTAAGGCCTATGTGTCCACTATTAGCTAGAGCAAGAACCAAGGGCAAATTGTTACTGAGGTGTGAATGATGTCTTAGTTCGTGCAGGCTATCCTGAAGGAGCCCGAGCTGATAAAAGTTAGCAGTCTGGGAACAGGTGCAAGTGCTTTGAAAGTGGCCTGGTCCCCAATGAAAGGAGAAGTAGTCCACAGGTCCACACACATGCTGTGGGTCAGGCCTGGCTGGTGGGGGGTCAGGAAGGAGGTAGCAGCTCCAGAGCTTCCAGAGATAAGTGGTTTTCCAGGCAGGTAAAGGGGAAGGGAGGAAGTTCTAGGAAGAGAATATACCAGGATAGCTGGGGATGGGGTGGGAACAAGCTGGAACAGTTACCCTCTGCTTCTTAGAACAGGGGACATGGACCCAACCGTCTGGAGTGTGAAGGGAGGCCCTTGAAGGCCCTGGGCCAGGCCAGGGTGGTTTCTGCCCTTTGGGATCCAGAGTTGGGGTCTTCTCCTGGATGGGGTTTATTGGCCAGTGTCCCCACATCCTGGAAGCAGAACAAGCAAAAAAGCATCAGGGAGATCAGATGCTACCCGCCCGTTCCCAGTGCTGCCCTTGGGTGGACTTCCTCCAACTTGAGGTCACTTATAACTAAGAAGAGGGCACCTCTTGCCCTGGAGCTTTTGGGGGGTGTTTTGTTTAGTTGGTTGGTTTTTTGTTTGTTTTTGAGACAGTCTCACTTTGTCACCCTCGGTAGAGTGCCATGGCATTACAGCTCACAGCAACTTCCAACATCTGGGCTTAAGCGATTCTCTTGCCTCAGCCTCCCAAGTAGCTGGGACTACAGGCACCCACCACAACGCCCGGCTATTTTTTGTTGCAGTTTGGCTGGGGCCAGGTTTGAACCCACCACCCTCGGTATATGGGGCTTGTGCCCTACTCACTGAGCCACAGGCGCCGCGCCCATGCCTGGATCTTTCCATAAAAATCCTGTGTGTCTTAGAAAGCTCCAGCAGAATAGGGAAAAACTACATTGGTGCCTGCTTTTGAAGGGATCAGTTCTGCGGAGCACCCAGGCTGCTGCCCAGTGTTCCTCACAGGGATCCCTCATGGCCCAAGTTGTACAACAAAACTTGGGTCCCATCATCTGGGAGGCACCTGTTCTTCTTCTTCAATTGTGCCACCCAGCAAAGGGTGTCCTGCTTCTTCTCCTGATGGTGTCCTTTGTGCCCTCCCAACAGTCAAGGAGAAGCTGCGCCTTGACCCTGACAGTGAAATTGCGACCACTGGAGTGCGGGTCTCCCTCATCTGCCCGGTGAGTCTTATGGCCTTCACCTCTCACAGACCCACCTGCCTACCCTTCCTGAGTTGCTGGGTCTTGGTTTCTCCCTCAGTGTCTGTAAGGCCATTAGCAAATGTCAAGATCACCACACACGAGAGTATACGGGGGATGGGCTGGTGGCAAGCAGGGGAGCTCTGTTCATGCTGCCCACTTTCCACAGCTGGTAAAGATGCGGCTCTCTGTGCCCTGCCGGGCAGAGACCTGCGCCCACCTGCAGTGCTTCGATGCCGTCTTCTACCTGCAGATGAATGAGAAGAAGCCCACCTGGATGTGCCCGGTATGCGACAAGCCGGCACCATATGACCAGCTTATCATTGATGGGTGAGTCTTAGGGAGCCTCCCATTGGGTGCTGGCCTGCCCTGGGCTCAGCTCCATGTCTGTGGGCCCTCAACTGGAACGCAGAGGAAAGCTAGATGATCGCTGTGGATCCATATCCTCTACCTCCCCAGGGGCCTGATGTGCCTCCACAGGGAGGTACTGACTGCTCCCAGCAAGGCACAAGGCAGGGGCACGTGATTGGTCCCAGAGCATTGGAAACCTCAGGCTATTTAAAGAGGCACTTTTTTCCCTGCAGAACTCAACAGAGCCTTTGCTACAGGGGCAGAGTGTAGCTGAGGCTACAGAAGGTGTTTCAGGTCCCCTGTTGTTCCCATGTGAGTTAGGCAGGTGTGACATTGAGCTCCCACATAAATTGGGGCCTAAGAGGCCAGCCACAAGGTGTCAAGGATTCAGGGACCTGCTTCCCAAAGGGTGTTCTGCCCCAGTACTTGCAGGGTTGGTTTTGATCTCTGCTCAGAAAGGGGAGACAGATGGTACCCCAAAACTTCCGTCTTGTGGCTACCCTTCCTTAGGGTGCCAGTTGTTGCCATGCCGTCCCTCTGGCCTCACCAGCAGGCCCTGCCCAGGCCACAGGGGGACAAGGACAAGTCTTTTCTGCCCAGAAAGGAAACTTTGCTCTTTGCTCAGATCTTAAGTTTCCAGAAACTGAGCCCTGTTGTCTGCGGCACCTAATGTGGCTCCTGCCTGGCGCCAGCCACACCCACCTCCTGTCCCCAAGCCACCAGGCAGGGCACAAGGTCGCAGCCTGCCTGAGCTCCTCTTCTTTTTTTTTTTTTTTTTTTTTT